TAACAGGGTGTGGCTCATTTTTACCCACTGTCACACCTTAACCATTAACCCCTACTGTAGTCCATTTTGTAAATTTCAGTCATTCTAAGTGTGAGTGGAGGATTATCACAGGACTTGTTAATCACAAGTCAGCAGCCAATGACACACTCCTGCGCCCATCTGTTCATACTGTCTTCTTGTTTGCACAGGCCGGTATTACATCAAAAGGGATTTTAGTAAAAACTGCCGTTTTGGGAGTAATGGCGATCCTGACATGTGCTGTTACAGGTTAACCTTGCATGCCTCTCCCCACTGTAGTAGATCCAGAAGAAACAATTTAATAGACAAATCCATTTTATTATATACATAAAAATGAATTGGTTTACAAAAAATAAAAATAAGACGGCAATACTTTTCTTAAGTTTTTAAAAAGAAGATCATGGATTAAAAAAAATATATATATATGAGCATGTTTATTTACAGCACAATGGACAGTGTGTTTGCCACCATCTGAATGGCCCTGAGGGGGTCTACAATGTCTTTGAGCTTATCTCGCCTCAGAACCCAATCTGGTGCAAACCTGAAAGAAAACAAAAAACTTTTAGTTATCTCTGGAAACATACAAGCACTCTTTCAGCGTATTATGTAACTCAGGAATATCCATACTTTGGTGCAGCGCGGGATTTACGAGGCGTCACTGGAACGAAGAAGCTCCCGTTGATCGACGCGCTCATCTTCTGCTTGATGATTGTTCTTTCTGTGTCCATCTTGTGTTTGCGAGCAGTGAGGCGGTAAATACTGTGGATCCTATCCAAGACCTTGGGTAGCTTTTTGACCTCCTAAAGAAAATACAGTAAGCAAAATAGTTAGCATTTTCTCTTGTGTAAAAATATCATTGATATTTGTATTTACGCACTCGTGTTATCTGTTTGTTACAGTGTCTACGGACCTCAGTGCGTTGCTTGTCCTGCAGCAGGAGCGCAAGAAGGAAACAGGCCTTAGTGAAGATGCTTCCACCCTTTTCTGCCACTTTATCCCCTGCCTTCTCCCGGTATCTCTGCAGCAGGTCCAGCAGCGTCTCCACAGAGTTTTCCACTGAATACACCGCCTCAATGGTCTTGTGGTACTGAGGAGGGAGGGGAGACGATGTTAGTCCTGCACACTTAAACATTGCATGTTGCATGTTCTATTTTGGCTGAAAAAGACAGAAACACTCAAAAATAAACACCACCCCCGTCCACTTTGTTCTTCATATTTAATGCTTCACGCACACACAAAAAAGTGAACATAATACATGTTTTATCTGCTACATATCCACATAAATGGTCACTTTGCAGTTAAATTAGCTTTACAGAAAGCAGTTTCTTATAGATTGTAGATGACATGTAAGGCCTTAAGCAAAGCTGTTAAAGCCACAATCATGATACAGCTTCCATGCTGGTAATCTCATTAAACACTGCACAGAATGATGGCAGGTGTAATTTCTCAAAACTAAGCAGGGATTAGTTTGTCCTATTGTTTGATGTTTTAGAACGGTACAAATTAACCTGTTTTTGTCAAATGAGTCTGGTGGCTTTTGTGAGGGAACATATTTGGATCCAAAAGCTTTACATTCCCATACAAATGTTTTGCTGCTGCCCTCATCCACAGCAGTGTAAGCTTCTCAAAAGCACGGGTGTGCTGACGGTCATTTACCATCGACAGTATACAGATTACAGGTTTATTCAACCCCCACTTGTCTAAACAATCCCTTTCCAGCCAGAAGATTCAAAACAAATAAGTAAGATGTCTGGGTCTACCACGCCAACATGTTCCCGTCACAGTCAGGCAGATTATGTTGCAAGAAGAACAAAGTTCACAGCGAGAAGAGAGAAATCGATAACAGCAAACAGTCTGACAGAGGGTCAGATCTATATACAGGAAATGGGAAATGCTTTTAGAGAAAACAGGAAAGCTTGATAACACTTTAGTTCTGATATTTTCAGACAACCAGAGTTAAGTGATAGAGCTCTTTAAATGCATCTTCTGTGTTCTTGCAAGTTACTGTTTAAAATAATGCAACCAAAAATACTGCTGAATTTAAGAAATACTGGATAGTGATGCAGCACCAACTTTTATATACTTTTATGTACCTTTATATGATGACACAAAATGTCTAGCCATGAGAATACTGTATAAAAGTACTCTGCATTTACTATATCTGTACATAAATAAGTATTTGTTCCCACCTTACATTACAGTCACACTAAGGAAAACAATGGCTGGCCCAAAACCATTGTGTAAGTGTGTGATAGGTTGGTTGCTGTAACTAGGGATGTCACCAGAACCAATATGTGTTGTATCACTTCCTACCAAAATTCTGAAAATGTGAGTAAGGACTGATTTCCCAAAAAGCCGTATGCAAGCATGTTACTGTACTGTACTGAAATTGTGTGGCCTAAGTGAACTAAAAGAATAGCTCCCAGATCAGTTTGAATAGATCAGCGTGAATGCTTTTCAATTAACATTACAAACATCCAAACCATTATCCTGCTTTTATTATGCCAAAATGTAAATTACCAACAAAGCTGTGAAATCAGCTTTGTTCCACTGGCTAAAATGTTTGCAATGGCTAACATTAAATGCTTATGCTAGTGTAATATAACATTAGTAGGCTATATAATGTTAACATTTTAAATAAATGATCTGCCAGTGTTTTAAAAATGACTTTAATGAGGCAGTTTATGGTCGAGTATGCGAGATGTCACTTCAGATCATTTCTGTTTTGGTATCGAATTGGGCTGTGAGAATTGTTCAGTTCTACTGCTGTTTGTACCGACTACTAATGTCCAGTATCGTGACACACCTAGGTGGAAATACTTGTTAACTTTTGCCTAATGTGAAGAAATTCAATGCAACCAATGGGAAACTATAATTTCTTTCTAGTCACAAGGAGGTTGCTGTCCTACCCTTAGTCTTAGGTGAAATCTGACACTGACATTGTTAAATATGCTGGAACTGAGGAGTGGAGGAGGTGGAGATAGCAAAATATAAGCTACAACAAATCTCCTCCATGTGTCTACAGACAGTTAAAACAGCTTAATCTAATGTTGGGCCTGTAGGAAAACAAAAACAAAGAATAAACAACTGTCTACCTTCAGCTTTAATGTCACACTAAACTAATTAACCGGTTTACCTTTTATGTTTATAACCTGAGAGTACCGGATTACTTCATGAGGAAGCATTAAATACAAAGTGCTGTTCTGTGTCTGCAGTACCTTGGAAAGGTTGAGAAGTATCTGAATGGAGAAGGTGATGACGTCCATGCAGGGGACGCTCCTGTTACAGCAACGGATTAGTGTGAAGATGACGTTAGTGGCTCCGCTCTCCACAAGCCGCTCGCAGCACTCTGGGGACAGCCTGGTGGCGGTTTCTGCACACGAACGCAACATGCAAACACAGAGGCACGCACAAAGAGATTTCAGTCAGGACAAATCATAAGATGCACTCTTACATGAATAAGAAGTATGCATTTTGGCCAATTAGGCACATATATATTTACACATTTTAAACTATAAAATATTTAATAGATTTGGGAGTGATTGTAGAAATAGTCCCTAAAATATTACCCACCATAATTCAAAGACCAGAAGTGGGTTTTGATTCTACACATCACACATTAGAAAGACAAGAAACACAAAGAAATGCTCCAGAAATGCTGAAGCGTTTTAAAGAGGCAGTTTCTCAGAAGAATTTCTAGTAGATACGTCTATGGTATCAATTTAAATACTCATTCTCGAGTTGTCCATTCACTCATTTATAATGGTCCTCAATGTTAAATTGCACCGAATATCTCATCTAAGGATTATTAGAATGAGGAGAAATATCAGCATGCAAGAGGCACAAGTACAAATCAGTATTGAATATCTGCCATCTTTAGGCCCTCAGGCAACACTGCTTTAAAACCAAGCATGGCTGTGTCATGAAATCATTGCCTGGGCCCAGGAACACTTCCAGAAAAGTAACTATATTACTGGGACCATCTAAATGTTTGGTAGGAACTACATGCATCTTCTGCCTCTCATAATGATATGTGAAATAATTCGTCATTAATTCGTCATGGCTCACGTGTGCTCATTCACTCAGTTGAAAATAATGTCTGATCGTAAGCTGAGTAAACTATAACTTGCATGGCGTTTGTTCAGTGCTGTGGTGGGGTGAGCCAAAGATATTGTCATTAAGCTGTTTAGTGTTACATAAGTTGCCACATCTAAAGCTGTGGGATGACTTGCAGGGGAAAATGCTGTTTAAAACTATTTTTTCCATTTTTGTACTCAGCATGAGGGGAAACGAGTAGACAACAAAAAGCCTTACCAAGATTTTTCAAGGCCTCCAGAATGTACGAGAAGTGTTTATAACGAAGAAGGTAGTCCAGTGCAGATGAAGTTTTATTGCACAGTTTGTCTTCCTCTCGGACACTGGCAGTGACCACACGTAAGCGGTGCCTCAGCTTTACAATCTTGGGATTGTCATTCAATCTGCGGGAGCAGTGTCCTCTCCACAAAGCCTAGAAGGAGAAAGTGGTTAAAATTAAATTAAATTAAAAACAAACAAACAAAACAAAAACTCACATTAGTTTCAAACTGTTGGAAAACTAAATAAGTTAACAATTTTCAGGGCGAAATGTGTATAAAATTATTTGATTTCCATCAATTCAGAGCAAACATTTTGCTAGTGTAAACTGTTATTAGAAGTATTAAATATTAACAGCAAAATTAAAGAAATGATCCCAGCAAGGCTGTTACTGCCTTACTTTGTAGGTTGTAACAACATTTTGCTGACTACATTGTCAACAAATATCAAAATGATGAGGATAAAGTAAAGATTGGATAACAAGTTGTTGCTTTTTAATTTTGGTAACACTTTAAAACACAGCCTGCAACTAAGGGAGTGATTCCTCCATCATTAAATTGAATTTCAATTTATTTTTCTTTTAATAACAATGTCATTATAGTTACCTACAAAAACTCGGGGGTTGGGAGAAAATCAATTTTGTTTTTAAAACATCTGTCATACTCACAAACATGATGAATATTAAGAAAAGATGTTAAAAAAAAAAAAAAGATAATAATGATGATAATGATGATATACAAAGGCACAATTAATCTACTCCATACTATGACATGTCCATAGAACAGTACAGTTTATTTATGATGTAAAATTGGGAAATTGCTTGTCCATAAAATTTCCGTGAAATTGGGCAGTACTTAAAAGTATAAATTGTCTTTTTTCCTATAAAATACCTTAAGTTATAAAATTATTAACGTTACTTATGCATTACATAAATTCTCCTCTGTAATTTGCTATATTATTGTAGTCAAGGGGTTTGTGTGTCCCAAGAATTCCAGGGGCTATGCACTCGAAAGGCCTTTTGCCCCTGGTAGGATCTCCCATGGTAAATTGGTCCTGGGTGAGGAACCAGACAAAGAGCTGTTCAGAAGACCGTTATGTGTACACAATCAAGGGAACAGTTCACCCTGCCTGGGATAGGGTTAGTGGAGCTCTGCCCTGGAGCCAGGCCTGGGGAGGGTACCTGAAGGAGAGCCCCTGGTGGCCTGGAGGCCTGACCGGACGCAACCTGGAGAAGGCAAATGAGCATTTCCTCCTGTAGGCCCACCATCCACAGGAGAGGGTTGGGTGCTATAGGGGTTGGGTGCAGTGTGTGACGGGTGCCAGTCAAGGGAGACCCTGGTGGACCCTGGTGGGCTGATCCCAAGCTACTGAGGCTGGTGAAACGTCAACTTTCTGGTGGAGGAGGAGCATGAGCTGGTGTGTGAGGTTGAAAGGTACCAAAGAGATATAACCGGGCTCACCTCAATACACAGCTTGAGCTCTGGAACCAGCCTCCTGGACAGGGGCTGGACTCTGTCCCAGCTAGAAGTTGCTTTGGGTGACAAGCGGTATCTTGGCATGTCCTTGGCTGGCTGCCTGTATATTAGAGTTTTTTTCCCCCGGTAGACGAGAGGGTTTGATTCCTTGGTGTGTTGCTTGTTAATATGAGCCATTCGGCCCTTATACAACCGTTGCAAGAGCTTGGTCCACATTACTGGCAATAAGTCAGATTCATTCCCAGTGGGTATTGGATTCTTCCAAGGGTGCCCTTTGTCACCAATTCTGTTTATAATTTTTATAGACAGAATTTGTAGGCATAGCAAAGTGGCAGGAGGCTTTCACTTTTGTGGTCCCAGTGGCTTTTCATTGATTATGTTGTTCTTTTGGCTTGATCAGGTCTGTTGCCTCCAGCTGACACTGGCCAAGTATAAAGTGGTGGGAATGAGAATCAGCACCTCCAAGTCTGAGGCCATGGCCCAAGCATCTTGGGCTCTTGTTCATGACTGAGGGGAGCGGGAGACGGACGGGTCTATGGTTGCAGTGATGCTGAACCGATCCGTTGTGCTGAACAGAGAGCTGAGAGTAAAAGCGAAACTCTCGATTTACCAGTCAATCTACGTCCCTACTCTCATCTATGGTCACAAGTAGGGGTGGGCGATAGAAACGATATACGATAGAAACTATATATATTTGGCCAACGATAGAGATTTTGACGATACCGCTCTACCGCATGTTTATGATGCCTGTTTTGGTTGAAAGCATCGCAGCGGCTACAACCATTATCATCTGCAAATTATGCCGGGCGACAGTCATAGCAAAGAGACGAAGCACTTTTGAAATATGGGGAAAGCCAAAAACTGCGCGTCCTCCACTTCCGTAAATTTGATTCATTTATGTTGAATTCTCTCACAGCTGTTCCTATCCCCATGTTGTTGCAGTATATTAATAACTAACCTATTGTGGATGAAAAGTCTCAGTTGTTCTCCTGACTGAAGTTTGGCCCGTGTATAGCATCCTGCTATGCGATTGCATTCGTCCCTGACCACCAGAATCCCTCACGTTAACTTTTATCGAGTGGAAAAAAAGTTGGCGTTCATCCTCCAGCTTCACTGTGCTAATGTTATGCTAACATAGCTGTGTCGCTAGCAATCACGTAGCACAACATTAAACACCAGGTAGTCCAACTTCAGTAACCCTGCAGACACCACTGCTGTTTAGTTTTCTGTCTTCATTTATGTTGGAAGTGGTACCAGAGCTGTACGTTTGAATTAGTTTTCAAAAATCTCTCAGTCAGAACATGGTATGAAATGTTTAGGTGGAAACTAGCGAGCTAACTTCCTGTTAACTTCTAACTCCGTTAAATTTAAGAAATTCTGTTTTCATGGATGCCTGGATGTTAAACTTAATTGTTACACCTGGTAAAGCAGCAACGCTGATGATTTTATTAAAGATGAAAGAATTTAGACCGTTTTTAACGCTCAGTGTTCGTTTGACTTTGGGAGCTGAAGCGGAAGGAGTTTTGGACCCAGATTACTCCGCGAAGCTCCTCACTATGGCAGCCATAATGCTCTGACAATCCATGAAGCAGTGCGGCTTACCAAAGTTGTACTAAAAAATTTTTTAACAGATTTCTGCACGCCCAAATCGGTTTGAGGTCAGTAAGCACAACCAGAATTCATACATAGGGCACACTCTCGATTTTGGAGAAAATGAAAGGATTTTATGTGTGCCTTATAGTGTGGAAAATACGTTATAGAGAAGAAAATAATATATTGCGATATATATCGTTACCGCACGTGCTTCAAATTATATCGCGATATGGATTTTAGGCCATATCGCCCAGTCCTAGTCACAAGCTCTGGGTAATGGCCTAAAGAATGAGATCAGGAATACAAGTGTCAGAAATGAGCTTTCTTGGAATGATGGGTGGCCTTTTTACTTAGAAATAATGTTACTGTAGAGCTGCTATACCCTCTACAGTAAAAAGAGCCAGTTGAGGTGCCTTATCCAGGAGGCAGATAAGAATGCCTCCTGGATAAGGTGTTCTAGGTCTGTCCCACCAGGACGAGGCCCCGTGGCAGACTCAGAAGATATTGTAGAGTTTATATCTCTTGCCTGGCCTGAGAACATCTCTGTGTTTCTCAGATGAGCTGGAAGAGGTGGCTGGGGAGAGGGGAGTTCTGTGCATCCCTTTCTTTGCTTACCTATGGGTTGTCATATAAAGTGTTACCTATATTTTCTTTGTAAAATTAGGCCATGTTCGCAACAGTCAGATGTTAAAAACAGTCCTCCTGAAATTGTTTCCCAGTTATAATGTCATGGACTGATCATTGTAGAAAGAAAAGATTTAGCAAATCTTTAATGGGCTGTTCTAACTGAGGTGACTGAAGGTTGAATGAACTTTGGACACCTAAATATAGACTGAATTGGAAATCTGCGACTCTCCCATTTAGAATTACAGGCAACATCTTTACCACACTCAGCACTGACCTGGGCCTTGAGAATACCCTGCTGAACCCTCTTCTGACGCCTGAGGAGGAGGAATTTCCAGACAGCCTGCTGGATGACAGTCGCAGCCTTGTGGCGACGAGCTAGCCAGTGCCTGACTGCTCTCTGAGCTGTAGCCACCTTCAGCTTGTACTCCAGATAGCGTCTTCTCTGTTGCCTCGCTCTCACCAGTCGCTTAAAAAAAAAAAAAAAAAGTCAAGATGCCATTTGTAAAAACTGTTGTACTCTTCAATAGATGTAGCACTGTGGATGTTTTGTGACTCTACCTGTATGGTGATAACAGAATGGATCTGTCTTTTAGCGGACTCCAAAGCCCAGTGAGCTCTGAGTGCTCGTTGGATCTTTATGGCACTGAGATGGTGAAATATGGCCGACGTAAAACGTAGCCTCCTCTCTGCACGAGCAGCCTTTAGTACCTGAAAAACATTGGCTTACATTTAACCAGCAACTTTTTTTTCCCCCCTCCACATAACACATTGAGACTGCTTACTACAAATCACATTTCAACACTGTGAGACTCCAAACAAGCTGCAGTTCCTCTTAATTACGGTACTCTGTTTATTTTTGTACTGCAAATGAACTTTACCTGCTGTCTTGCAATCCAGGCTTGCCAGTGTTTCTGAAGTGTGATGGCAGCTTGCCTCACTTGGATGTATTTGATTCTCTCCTGCCTGCCGAGCTGCACTGCTCGAATCCTCCGCTGAAGTTTCACAGCTGCATCTTTCTTTCTTTGGAAGATACGTCGTTCCACCAAACATTTCCAGCATGACTGGATTACAACAGCAGCATGATTTTGTAGGCTAACATCCCTCCTGACGCGCCAGCCTCTCAATGCTGCCTGGAGAACTATGGCGGATTGTTTCAACTTCAAAAACTTTGCTCTTTCTTGCCTCTGAAGAACACGAGTCTGATAACGTCTCTGGATGATGATGGCAGATAGACGCATGGCCTGGAATTTGACGACTTCTCTGTGTTTTCTGAAGGCAGACTGGATCACAGTAGCAGCTTGATGCCAATGAGCAACTTCCTGTCTGACCTGCTGCCCTCTGTACGCTGCCTGAAGAACAACAGCAGCTCTGTGCAGTTTCTGATATGTTTGCAACTGTTTCTTTGCTGCTACAGAGGCTCGATATCTTCTCTGAAGAGTCAGGACAGAGGATTTCAGAGTGAGATACTCCCTGTGTTCGCAGTGAGCTCTGTAAGTTCTCTGGATAACACTGGCAGCTTGATGCTTTTGTTTGATCATCTGTCTGGATTTCATTCCACGATATGCAGCCTGTAGAATGATGGCAGCTTTTCTAACCTCTTGATAATGTTTCACCACAAGGTTTCTGGTTCTTTGAGCTCTGAACCTCTGCTGTAAGACACAGGTTGCCCAGCGTTGTCGCCTGAACTCTGATTGAAGTTTATATCTCCTGAAGTTTGCTTGAATGACAGTAGCTGCTCTGTGCATCTTGGCAATGTCAGACCTGACAGGATGACCTCTGAAAGCTGCTTGTAGGACCACAGCAGAATGTCTCATTCTTAGGAAGTTTTCCCTTTCTTGCCTCTGAAGAACACGAGCCCGATAACGTCTCTGGATGATGATGGCAGATAGACGCATGGCCTGGAATTTGACGACTTCTCTG